GTCGCTAGGAGGGGCTATTCCTTGGAGAAGGATATGATATTGAGAAAAGTGGAGGGTCGGTGAAGGAAAGGAAGACCCTCAACCAGGTGGATTGACAAGGTGCCTGCTGTGATGGGCTCTTGTGTGTCAGGAAGTGTAGGATGGCACAGGAGAGGCCAGGGTTCAGATCTTTTGTTCATAGGGTCGCTATGAGTCGTACTTGACGACACCTAACAACAACAATATTGTCCTCTTATAGTCTTTCATTTACATTATATTTTGCTCATTTATATTGTGGGATTTGTGGATAGTTTCTCTTTCAATAACCATTTATAGTAATGTCAACCGAAACTCATTAGCTAATACAAAACAACATAGTTTCTCACAGGATAGATCGTACATGCTTTTCCCCAGGCCCTTAGCATGTTGCATATAAGCGTGAAGTATAGAAGCCCCATTTCATGCTGCCATGTGTGGACTTCTGTGTAGGAGACTTGGCACAGCACTGTCACAAGCAACTTGGCACCAGCCTCGGTAAGTTCCCTAATGAAAATTAGATCTAATCAAAATAGCTACTTCTCCCCTTTTTTCATAATCCGCCCAGTGCCCCTCAGAGACTCGCCCATAGCCGGTGCAGGGGAATATCACAAACACAGACGTAAAAAAAAAAAAAAAAAAACCACAGACGTGCACATCTCCATAGGATTCTTCTCCTGGGGCTTGTCCACCCAACAAATCCCTACTCACTCTCCAGGTTCGACTCCTCACAAAAGGCTTCTTCGACCCCAAACTCCCACCACTGCAGACACAGCCCTCATTTCTCGTTGGGATTCCCTATCTTTCGGTCCCGTCTATCTCAGGCCCACTTGTCTAAGGCTGCCGTAAACCTCCTTCCATCTCAGGTGGGGGGTACAAAGAACAGAAAAGGATGCTTTTGAAATACAAAGAAGCTTTCCACCGTTGTGTCCACTGGCAGGACATTGGCTGTGTGCCCACAAGACCCAATGCACAGCCCCTATGACCTCACCCTCCCAGCCCTGCCTCCCACGTCCCTCCACCTGACCTCTGTGAACCCTTCTTACCTGGTTTAGGAGGAAGGTCCTTGTAGGGTGGTGTCATGTTCTCATAATCATCCCCGTCATCCTCTTCCTCCCTCAGCCCTTCCAGGAGAGAAGCAAGTCAGCTCTCAGTTCATTCCCTCCTCCATGCCTTGAGCTTTGGCCTCCCGTCCAGCTCCGCGAGGATGGGGCTGCCACAACCCGAGTCCTGACCACCCCAGTCTCTATCCCAAATCTGTCCAAGAGCATACCCGTCGAGTCCCGGAAACCAGCGTTGGTGTATACGGTGTACATGCTTCTAGTCGACAAAGAAAGCTTAAGAGAAGGTGCTGAGAGTCCGACGCCTTCTACACTCTCTGTTCCACTGTAGCGTCTGGGACTCTCTCAGTTCCCTTTTCCACTCAAAGGCAAGTACATGCAAATCCAGCCTGAAAAGAAACTGACACCAACCCCACCCATAGTCACACCGACTAGTCTCTTCCCACTTCGGTCTGTGAGTGAAAGTAACCAGGACGGCAGCATCTGCCCTGGAGCTCCCGCAAAAGGGCCAAACTCGGAGCAAAACAAGATGGCTAAACACCTTCCGAGGGACTCTCCATCCAGACAGAAGAGGCCATGGGAATGCAGAAATAAACAGTAGAACGTCCAATAGTCACTAAGCCGTCTCAAAAACACAGGGCACTGGGATAGGGTGAGGGCTTGTGTCGAGAAGATGGTCAAAGAGGCTTCCTGGAGGCACTGATATTTGTAATAAGATGATGAAGTGATGTTGTCTGCTGTTATGTGTCAAGTCGCCAGCGACCCATAGCTACCTTATGTACAGCAGCTCTGAACCTCACCCTGTCCTCAGCCAGTCTCATTAACTCTGACACACTTACTTCCATTGCCGACCTAGTCACTGAGTCAATCCATCTCATCCAGGGTCTTCGTCTCCTGTGCTGTCCGTCCATCCTTCCAAGCATAACGGCCTTCTCCAAGAACTGGTCTATCCCAGCCACGTACTCAAAGTATATGAAATGGACCTTCAAAATCCTAGCCTCTAAGGAGAAACTTGGTTTCACCTTCTCCAAGACAGACCTATTTGTTTTCTTGGAAGTCCATGGTACGTTCAAGACTCTCGATGCTAAGTATTCCCACAGTATAGAGTAAAGTATTAAACCACTAGATTGATTCTCTATGCAGTTAGTTGAGTTAAAATGGGGTGAATGTGGAAAAAAAAGAAAAATAAAAAAAATTAGGTGAGTGTGAATTAATTGATTCTAACTAATAGTGATGTATGTGCAGTGACAGTGCCCAGACCCACATCTTACAATCACTGCTACACTTGACCTCATAGGTGGCTGTGATGTCAGCCTGTTGTGTCAATGATCTTCCTCTTCTTCACTGACCCCCCACTTTAACAAACACAGTATCCTTCAACAGCAACTAGTCCTTCCTGATAATATTTACAACATGAGATACAATCTCACCATTCTCACCTCTTAGAGATATTTCTGCTGTACTTCTTTCAAGGCGGATTGGTTCAGTATACGAGTAGTTCTTGTTATTAGGTGCTATTGAGTCAAGTATGACTCAGAGAGACTCTATGAACAAATGATGTGAACAGATGTGAATCCTGTCCTACCCTGTGCCAACATGATCATCTCTGACACACAAGTCCATTGCTACCGTCACTGTGTCAATCCATCTTGTTGATGGTCTTCCTCTCTTTCATTGACCTCTACCTTTCTAAGCATGATGTCTTTTTCCAAGGAATAATCTCACCTGCAAACATGCCCAAAGTATGTGAGACCAAGTTTCACAATCCTTGCCTCCAAGGAGCATTCTAACTGTGCTTTTTCCAAGACATATCTGTTTGTTGTTCTGACAATCTATGGGATATTCAGCACTCTTCTCCAAAACCACAGCCCAAAGGTATCAATTGTTCTTTCATCATCTTTACTTGTTGTCTAGATCTCAGATGCAAAGCAAGTGATTGATAAGACCATGATCTGAATCAGGTACTCAAGCTTAGTCTTTAAACTGACATCTCTGCTCTTCAGTATTTGGAGAGATCCTAGACAGCAGATTTTCCCAATGTATTAAGTCTTCTGATCTCCTGACAGCTGGTGCACGAGTGTTGATTGTAGATCCAAGTAAGATGAAATCATTGACAATTTCAGTCTTTCCTTCATCTATTATGATGTTGCTTATTGGTCCAGTGATGATGATTTTTGTTGATACAAAATCCATAGTTCATTGTGTATTCAGTATTACTTGCAAACTCTGTATTCCAGATGAAACAATCCCTTGGTCTGCCTTGTCCAGCTTTGAGTGTATATGAAGCAATTCTAGAGTTCATGGTTTGGGTTAGATGCATTGTGTTTCTCAAAGTGACTTTTCAAATAAAGTAAAGGCAATACATAGTTTGATTGCTCTCTGAGAGAGAGAGAGAGAGAGAGAAAGAGTGTGTGTGTGTGTGTGTGTGTGTGTGTGTGTGTGTGTGTGTGTGACCTTGGCCACATTAATGGCATAAGGCTTCTTTTCAGCTTGTTTGATCTGGTAATTGTTGACCTTGACATCCACAATGAACACAAGTATGTCATTATCTACTATCTTCTTCATGGCTGACTCAATGGTCAGGAGGAACTTGATGGTCATAGTGGTCAAGCTTGTTTCTCCTGGAGGTGCTCTTCCAGGAGTAGGCTGCCAGCAGGTGGGTGATGTGCGGACCCTCTTTTTCGTGTGAGGCTGTGGATGTCCTTCAGGACTGCCTTCTTGGCCTTTAACGCCTTTATTTTGGCTTCAGTTTGGGAGGAGCAGGGGCTTCCTTCTTGGCTTTCGGCACCATCTTCACAAAAAGCCATGATTTCTTGATTTTTGAGTGCTTCTTCTGTGGATGTTATTGAGGATCCAGAAAAAAAAACAAAATAACACACTTCAATATTTTCCCTATTTATTATGTTGCTTATTGGTCCCATTGTGAAGCTATTTATTTTCTTTATGTTGAAGTGTAATACAATCTGAAGTCATCGATCTTCGTCATAAGTGCCTCAAGTCCTCTTCATTTTCAACAAGCAAGTTTGTGTCTTTCACATATCATAGATTGCTGGTGAGTTTCCCTCCAACCCTGACGCCACATTCTGCTTCACATACTTCTGCATCTCAAATATTTGCTTGACGTATGTATTGAGTAAATATGCTGGAAGGATAGAACTCAGACTCATATCATTTCTGACTTTCATCATGTATTGTCCCTTTACTCTTTCAAACGACTGCCTCTTCATTCCTCTATAGGTTCCAGTTGAGTACAATAAAGAGTTCTGGAATTTTCATCCTTTACAATTGTATCCATAGTTTGCTCTGATCCTTTCAGTCAAAGCCCTTTGCATAGTCAGTAAAGAACAGGCAAGCATCTTTCTGGTATAATCTGCACACTACCTGACAAGAACAATGATATATCCCTCCTTTCAATCCTCTTCTGAATCTTAAAAGAGATCACGGTAGAAGACCTTGAACAGTTGTTGTTGTTGTTGTTGTTGTTGCTGTTGTTGTTGTTGTTGTTGTTGTTGCTGTTGTTGTTTATAGGTACCATATGACTCATAGAGACCCTACAAACAATAGATCTGAACTCTGTCCTATCCTGTGTTATCCTCATTTTCTTGATACACTTGAGCCCATTGCTGCAGTCACCACATCAAGCCATCTCATTGAGAGTAGGTAAAAAAAGAAAAATGAAACAAAACTCAAAATCCTAAAAATAGCCAAGCTTACTTGTCTGAGAGAGACTGGTGATACACCAGAGATGATGGCCTTCAGCTACTCTTTAAATCTGGCCAAAATTTACCCAGTGGCTCAACTTTCGTCCAACCAATAGATAGGTCTATATGGTGAAAAATAACACAAAAAATCATAATTAATGGATTCGCTCTCTAGAACCATGCAGTTGATATTATGTTCCATTGAGTCTCCTGTGACTTATGGGGCACCAGTGCACAATAGCTTTGAATCCTGTTCTATCCTGCGCCAACCTTACTATCTCTGAGACCTAACCTCTTTACCCTAGTTACCTTGTCAATCCATCTCATTCGGGATCTTCCTCTCCTGCACTGTCCCTCCACCCTTCTAAGCAAGATATCCTTCTCCAAAGTCTAATCCCTTCTAACTACATGCCCAAACTACATGAGATGGAGTCTCAAATTCCTTCCCTCCAAGGAGCTGCTTGGTTTTGTCCTCGCTAGGACAGACTTGTTAGTTCTCTTGGGTAGTTCAAAATTCTTCTCCAGCACCACAACTCAAAGGCATTGATTCTTCTTCTGTCATCCTTGGTCATTGTCCAGCTCTCTGATACATAACAAGTGATTGAAAAGACAGTGGCCTGGATCAGGCACATCTTAGTCTCTAGAATTACATCCTTGCTCTTCAGCATTCTGGAGAGATCCCTGAGAGCAGATTTTCCCAATGAAATTTGTCTTTTGATTTCCTGACTACTGGTGCTAAGGGTGTTGATTGTAGAACCAAGCAAGCTAAAATTGCTAACCATTTCAATCTCTTCTCCATCTATCATGATGCTGCCAATTGGCCCAGCGGTAATAATCTTCATATATTTTATGTTGAGCTTCAATCTATATTTCAAACTACAGTCTTTGACCCTCTGCAGTAAATGCTCCATAAAAAATCAAAAGGGCAGTATTTGCCTGTGGTAGCTTACAGGTGAGGGATGGTCCTAACTTTGCAAAAATACTCTGTTTGGGTCCACCAGGTGTTCCACAGGAGAAAGATGTACAATCTCCCAGGCAATTCTCTGCTTCTTTTTTTTAATTATGT